CATGAACATTAAACATGTATTAACAGTAGCTTAGTAGTATCATGAACATTAAACATGTATTAACAGTAGCTTAGTAGTATCATGAACATTAAACATATATTAACAGTAGCTTAGTAGTATCATGAACATTAAACATGTATTAACAGTAGCTTAGTAGTATCATGAACATTAAACATATATTGACAGTAGCTTAGTAGTATCATGAACATTACACATATATTGACTTAAAACAGTTCCTTTAGATAAGGCTTAATGGTTGGTTTTGTCTTAGCCTTGGGGTACTGATGAGGTATGTATTTTCTCAGACGTTTTTTGTCATTAGATCCCTTTCTGATGAGCTTACATATAAGTTTCACTGTACACCCTGTTCATTGTTGTCTAGCTTTTGCAGATGTTTGGATCATTGTTAGAGAGGCCGGTGGTAAAAAAAGATTTTACACCGTATCATTCACGAATTGTTCAGTTATTGGAAGCAGAAATTGACATGGCCAAGAAGATATATGATCAACAGTTAGAGATAATGTCATTAAATGGCAAAGCTAATGTACACAAGAACATGCCACCAATTGCTGGTACTGTAAGATGGATTCGTGAACTCAGATATCGTATTTCAAGTCTGATTACTGGGTTCAAGCAGTTTGAAAACATGTGAGTATCATTTTGTTTTATCTGTATGTTTAAAATAGTTTAGTATCATTTAAAACTCTGAGGATTGGCAGATGACTTATTTTATTTGATGCATTAAAAATTTGAAAATAAATTCCATTGTTATCTCGTTAATTATCAAGAAATGTTGTGCTATTTTACATATTTGGTTCAGTTAGAACTTCATCTTGTGAAATGTACAACCAGTAGTTTCTAATCTATGTATCTGTCTAAAAATGTTTAAAACTTCATTGCACTAAGTAAAAAATAAAGATAATGTGAAACAGTGCAGGAAAGAAAATGTGAATGAAATATTTAGTACTTTTTGTTAGAATGTTATATAGTAGACAGACAGTTTTCTATACTGTCAGAATATTAGCATACATTAGTTGTTGAGAAGTACACAGAAGCCTTAAAATGCAATCTTTTCAAAGGTTTACATCTTTTAAGAGTTCTAGTTTGAATTCTAAATTTGTGAGTATTGACTAAAGAATCAGTTAGAAGTAATTTTAAATATTATGAAAAAACAACAAGATTCATAATTGATAAGTGAACTACACAAGTTACTCTCATAGTACTCAAGTCTAGATTTATTCTTAGTATCTTAGCTACCCTACTGCAACACATCAATCATATAAATCTTATATGGAATATAATTTCAGTATAAAGCAAGATGAATGGACCGAATACCTCCTTAAGAAGTTTAATGAGATGTCAAACTTATTGATCAAGTAAGTTTTGTTCTTTCCCTTTTGTATACAAAAGTATCAGAACTGAATAACAGTCATTTACAGTTATATATGTATATATTTTACAGTATTTATATAGATTTTGGTTGTTTCTAATGTTCAGTTGTGTTATTTTTAAATAAGTTACCAGTGATCCGTGTGTTCATATTTGGTTTTATATTTTCTTAGTTTGACCCCTCTTCAACTTAAGATAATGGACAGTAATCATAAATAAATATAAAATTATGTATGATGAAACTTACAAACAGTTAATTTAACACTTGAATTAAGTTCACCTATTTAGTTCCATTTTATGTTAAATGTAAATAAAAAGATCCGTAATCGTACCTCAGTAGATGTATCGCGTTGAAAATAGAGACCAGTTGGTCAAACATTTGATATACTTATTTTGAAAGACAAAATTATTTGTGTATAAAAATGCTTCAGAATGACTATGGAGACAATTATTACACGTATTGTTTTTTATTAAAGACTCATATCTGTAGAGTTTTATACACTTATTTACTCATGATGTCAGAAAAACACGTAGGCTCAAAAAGTCTTAGTATAAAATGATAATAATCCTATAACCCGAGCACTTTCAAAAGGTTGACCTTTCTTCTTCAGGGATAAACTAGTAAGTGCTCAGTTATAGGGTTTTGTGTTTTTTGTCTTAAATAG